GCGTAAACATTAGAAGTTTCTGCTACTTTACGTGCAAATTTAGGTGCGCGCGCAGACCTCTCTTTTTAATCAGCTGCTAACTTCCGGTTTTAGAGAGAGAGGTCTGCGCGCGCACCTAAATTTGCACATAAAGTAGCAGAAACTTCTAATGTTTACGCTCATAAGTGAACAAAAATATTAAAAATATTATATGAAGACAATCTCGTTGCCAGGTATTTTTTCCGGAATCTTAAAGAAATCAAAAGTAAGATTATTTTAGTGTTTATTTCATTCAATTCCGTGAAGCTATTCAAAAGTTATTCAATTATTATTTAATACCTTTTTTGTTTATAAAAATTTTTTATAAACATAATATAAAAAACTTTTTCGTTTTTTTATGCTGAATTTTCTCCAAAAAAAATTAAGTGATTTGGTTAAGATGGAAAGAAGATATAACGATTTCAAAATTTTTCCAAAATTTTGACATCTCAAAAACTACTGAATATTTTGACGTAATATTTGGTGGAAATATGTCTTTTTATGTGTAGATTTAAATTCCAAAATTTCATTGCAATTGGTTTACTTACTCCGAAAAAACTAAAATCTCCCATGGAATCGCACATTTATAAAAATAAAAAATTTTGTAATTTGCATAATAATAGTAAATTGAATATCGAGGCCATAAATTATAGAAAAAAAATATGTTTAAATTCATTTGTTTGGTCTAATGGCGTTAGCCATTAGGCAAACAAATGAATTTAAACATATTTTATTTATAAAACAATAATAATAATAAAAATAATACCAATAACAATAATAATAACGAATAAGAAAAAAAGAAAGAGAGAGAGCAAGATTCATCAAAAAAGGAAAAAGATTTTTGAATTAAATAAATAATTCTCGAGCGATCAATTATTTAATTTTATTAAAATTAGTCTTCACTCTGGAGCTTGAAATTTATTTATAAAGATGATAATTAGAGAAATAAAAATTTTTTCCCTACTTGAAAATTTTATTGACTGTCAATTAAAGACAATTTTTCCAATTTTTTATTTCATTATTCATTTCGAACATTCTAAGTTTAAAAAAAGAAAATAAGAAATGAACGAAAAATTGAATGAATAAGAGAAAAAAAAACAATTAAAATGATGAGTCTGTAAAAATTTCCGAGATTCTGATCGTCCTCTATTTTCTATTAATATTAAGAGATAATCTTATCTTCCGGGCAAATAAATTCCGTTTATCTAAACTCTCGTCTGAAGATGTAATAATGTTTTAAATACAAACAGCTTTTTTTCTCGAAAAAAGGAAAATTTTTTCACATATACCTCAAGATTTATTAAATAAATAAATAGAAAAATATGAAAAAATGAATAAATAATATTAAATGAATGAAATGAAATAAATAAAATTGAATAATAAATAAAAAATTAAAGAAATAAATTTGAATCAATAAATAAAGAATCAAATAAATAAATTACACAATTAATTAAAAAAGTTAAATATATATAACTTTTAAAATTAAATAAATAAAAGATACGCAAGTAAAAATGAAAAAACACCCAATTAAATGAATATACAAATTGAGTTATCAAAAAAACAATTTAGTGAAAAAAGTAATTAAACAAACAAATGATTGACAATCGAAAAACACGTACAAATAATTCTGTGCAAAAAACGAATAAAGAAAATAATTGCACCGAAACTCAGTAAACAATATTGATTCAAAACTAAATAATATAAATTTAAAGGATAAACGAGTAATATTATTTTAATATTATCATATTTATTTTTTATTATTATTTTAATAATATTTATGTTTATTATTATTTTAATAATATTCGATAAACGAGTATATAATTACTCGAGAAATACAAATAATATGAAAAAATAATTAGAATCACCGAATAATTATAAATGTGAATTAAATATAAATACCGAAAAAGTAAAATACAAAAATTAATTAAAACATAAATATATTGAATATTAAAAAAATGTAATAATTTAAAAAAAATCCTTGTGTTCTAAATTCAGGAAAATTCCTGACGTTTTTAATAAAATGTCTTAAATTCATTACACTGAAACTGATATATAAAAGTAAAAAAAAAATCAAGTGAAAAAACTAAACAAACACTATCTTAGAAATGTTGCAACTTATTATTAATAGTTCAATTTTTCTTTTTTTAATATTTTTTGCCTCATGATTAGATAATAATTTTAATCTCATTTCTTTCCTTGAAACTCGTTAAGAATATAATGAGAGTGAAATTTCACTAAAAATAAATGAAAATTTCTCTTATTTTTCATGAATCACTTTTACCGACTTTAATCGGTAAAATTTCATATAAAATTAGTCAAAACAAACTGAATTATCAGTGGAAATTGTCACTTATTAAAAGATAATGGAAAACAATTAAAAATTTTTAATTGAAAATTCAGTAGAAGATATTGAGAATGTCGTTTTTTTAAACTAATCGATGAAACTGAAAATTTAGTCACTTATAATTCGATTCAATTCAACCCAAATTGATTAAAATCAAATCAAATCAATTCGATTCAATTCAATTCAATTCAATTCAATTCAATTCAATTCAATTTAATTCAATTTAATTCAATTCAATTTAATTCGATTTAATTCGATTTGATTCGATTCAATTCATTCTGATTCAATTCAATTAAACAGATTTTAATTCGATTGGACTCAATTGAATGTAATAATTCAATTTTAATTTTTTAATTTCAATTAATTTCAAATAAAATCAATGAAATACAATTTCATAAAAATTAATTTAATACAATTTAACGAAAATGAGTTATACTGTACTATAAAAATTGTTTTTTTTATTTAAAAACAAGAAAATAGAAAAAATAGTAAAAAATTTCTTATTTTATACAAATAAAAAATCTATTAATTTAAAATTTGTCACTAAATAGCAAATAATTTCTTAATAAATAAATAAATTGTAGATAATTGTGAGAATAATTCAATATTTGTCAAATATAAATAAATAATGCAAGTAAAGAAGAATTTTATTAATTAGCTAATTAATAATAATGTAAAAAAATCATTACAATTATAGTATTTAATATTATTTATTCATTTTCGAATAAATAAATGTCAAATTTTTTATTTTCGAATAAATAAATATGTATAAAATTTTTTACTTTCGAATAAATAAATGTCAAATTTTTTATTTTCGAATTAAATAAATACCAAATTTTTTATTTTCAAATAAATAAATAAATAAAAATGATCATAATAATTGAAAAATATTTTTCCTACTAAAAGAATCATAAAATTATTTATTATTTTTTAGTAACAAATTTATTAATAGAAAATTTATTGTTAAAAATAGTAATAAATAAATAAATCGTATTTAAAGGTGAGAATATTTCAATACGCAGCAAATATAAATAAATTACGAAGATAATAGTATTATATTATTCAATTAATTAATAGTATATAAATAAAATTATTGTAATAATAATAATAGTATTTATAATTATTTATTTTTGAATAAATAAATAGAATAAAATTTTTTATTTCTGAATAATTAAATATCAATCTATTTATTTCTGATTAAATCTCAAAATTATTTCTTTCGAAATAAATAAAAATATCAAATTATTATTTTTGAATAAATATATTTAAATAAATAAACATTATCATAATACTAGAAAAATTTATTCATAGGTACTAAAATTCTCATAAAAAATATTTATTGTTTTTTCAATAACAAATCTATTAATATCAAATTTAAAGGGTTTATTTGAAACCCGTGTATGTTCAAATAAAAAATAAAAAATAAAAATAAATTTGTTATTGCAAATAAACTGAAAAAAATTTTTAATGACTCAAACAACCGATTACATGTCTATTTTCAAATGAATATTTACTTGAAATGAAACAATTCATTTTTATTCTCTCGAAATTTAAATTAGTAAAAATGTCTAGTAATTTGAATTAGTAATCTATTTTTTGCTTTTAAGTTAGTAAATTTTACTAATAAACAGTAATTTCTACTAATTAATATTTTATTAGTAAAATTTACTAATTCAAGAACAAAATTTTAATTCGTCTACTAATTTAATTAGTTTTCTAATTTTAATTTTTGAATTTAAATCAAATTGTATTTGAATCACGAATTTTAGTATTTAATTTAGTATTAAAATACTTTTATTTTGATTTAAAATTTTATTTTATGTAAGAAGCAATTCATTTAATTGACTTAAATAAAAATTACGTAAATAAAAGATGTTTTGAATTTAAATCAAATTGTATTTGAATCACTAATTTTAGTATTTAATTTAGTATTTAAATACTTTTATTTTAATTAAAAATTTTATTTAATTTAAAGAGCTGATTTAATTGACTTAAATAAAAATTATATCAATAAAAGATGTTTTGAATTTAAATCAAATTGTATTTGAATCACCAATTTTAGTATTTAATTGAGTATTTAAAGCAATTCTAATTAATTGACTTAAATAAAAATTATACAAATAAAAGATGTTTAAATACATTTTTTATTTCTATAATTCCTTGCTTCCAAAAATATTGAATTAAATAAAAATTATTTGATACAAAGAAATATTTATTTGATAACACAGTTTTTTAAGGATATTAAAAATTGAGACAAAAAAAAAGTATCAAAATTTTTTATCACAACAATGTTTATACATTTTTTGTATAAATTTGTTAACCAAAAGAGATTGAAACAAAAAAATGATCAAAATTGTTTATCCCAACAATTTTTATTACGTTTTTTGTATCAATTTGATAACCAAAAATATCAAAATTGTTGGGATAAACAATTTTGATACGTTTTTTGTATCAATTTGATATCCTTAGAAAAACTGTCGAATAGACATCAAATAGAATCAAATAATTTTTTTTTTCATTGTATAATAATAAATTAAAAAATTATATAAAGATCCGCAAATAGTTCAACATTTGGTAAACATAAATAAACAATGCAAATAAAATAAGACAAAAAATCAAAAGTAAAACAAAATCCTACCTTAATGGTATCCTCCTGATCTCCCCAATTGTCGGACTATTACTAAGATCCTCCTGATGGCTGATCACAACACTATTCTCATCAGTCTCAATACTCAAAAGAATTGCTTTGAGATCCGTGAAACTATCGTGAACTTTTGGTTTTGCCGTTCTCTCTTTTTTCGTTTTCGTAGTATCACTATCACCTTTCACCGTCTGCCAATTACCCCCCGCTGACATATCACCACCACCACCACCCCCCGACTGCTCCTTACTCACATTCACCCTCTGCAGGAATTTTCGTCGAAAATTATTGTACACAGTGTCACGATTAGGATCGTCGCCAAATTTAACACGACCATGACTCGACACAAGATGATGTCCACTGTATCCAAGATCTAATTGGAGGTCCATAACCAGAAAAATTGTGAATAAAATTGCAAATGCACTTAAACCAACAATAAGTTTCTCTCGCATTCTGATAATCTTAACTGCCAACCTCATTGTCTGTCGTTTTTTCACTCGCAGCGATTTTCTCAGTATTCTCTTACCCACTTCCTTTATTCCTCGTTTCTCTTTACTTCCACTTCGATTTTTCGAATCTCTTAATTCCTTGCTCGATAATTCCTCATTCTTTACTGACTGCAAATTATTTTCCGTATCACTTTTTTGGTAAACACTATTTTCAATTGTATCGATATTCAATGAATTTATCGACAATTCCCGATTGGACTTTTCACCTGTTGTTGTTGTTCTAAAATTCAGATTTAACCGAGTGTGATCGAGTGAATCTCGACAAAGTGATTCTTCGAGTGAAGTTATAATCGCGTTTCCCCCACTTTTGTCGCGTTCCTGTGCATTCGTGAAATTTGCAAGTCGACATTTTACGTTAAGAAGCGAAACATCAGACACGTTCAGCAGTGCGAGTGAATCGTTACTGATCGGAGTAGTCACGTTGTTGTTGGTGGTGAGGAGGCCTTGCTTATCTGACCCTTGTTTATCGTGAATCTGTTCGAGCCACTGGGACCTTTGAACCTGAACCTCGTCTGGTGGTGGTGACGATTTCAGTTTCTTCAGTCGCCTATCGACTCTCCAATGACCTTGATCTTCCTCCCCGAGAAATGAATCTTGTGCTTTATGACGATTTTTTCTCAATCGCCAACAATCGTTGTCAATGAAGTTTGTCAAGCTTTCCTCACTTTTAGACTTTTTGTCACAATGTTGGGTTTGTTTTAAATTTTCGAATGTTTTTAAATGTTTCCTAAGAAGGTAGCGCTCTTGAAGGAGATTGAAGTTGTCCTCGGATCTTATTATGTCGTCCACATCTTCTATAGAAACACTTTGTGATCTAGTTAATTCCTCGTCGATGTTTGAGGTTTGTGCTTCGAACCTGTGAGTGTAATTTGAATCCTCTGGTTCGAGAAAAAATATCGGTCGTTCTTTTTCCACTGATAATTTTTCTTCTTCTTCTTCTTCTTCAGTGAAACTCTCGCCTCGTTCAAGACAAGAGGAGGAATTCTTCTTCCTTTTTGTTGATTTCTTCCGTCTAATCGGCGCTACAGGTTTGTCACCACTCTTCGAACTTCCTAGACTGTCACTACTCCATGTGAAATGTAATTTCTTCTTTAAAAGACTGGGACTTTTTTGAATATTCCTCACTAGTCGTTCACAATTTTCGGTTAAATTATCCTTTGATGTTTTGACAAATCTCTTAAGAAATGTCTCAGTTCGGTGAAGTTCCGGTGACTTAACATCGGCGTTTGATGATATGTACAATTCAGGAGATCTTGAAACTTTAAGAGTGTGCTCTTGCGTTTTATTTAGTGGGCCATTGAGTTCGGATTTTCGTTTCTTTTTCGATTTGTGATGAAAGCTGAAACTGTACGGGAGTTTTTCATGAGTCTTGAAAGTTTCATCATCATCGTCGTCGTTATTCCGAGGGATATCGAATGAAGACGACGAACGTCCAAGATTTTTTGAGTTGAATTGAGAAGATTTAGTCTCGAGACTCGAGTCGCTATCTTCGAATGTCTGGTGGTCGGAGATTGTTGTCGCCACGTTCTGTGTACCATTTGCGAAACATCGCTGTCCATCCAGACTGTTTTCCTCCTTTCTTCTTTCACGAACCGAAAAAAATTCTTTTCTCTGGATTCTCTTTCTTTTTTTCCTCTTTTTTTCTTTACTGATTCTTTTCTGTCTTTCTTCTCTCAAATTGTCTTCTGCGGGAAAATTGGAATAATTCGCGTCTTTGGAATGTTTTCAAAAAAGAAGAAAATTGCCGTATCACAGAAAGTTTCACGATAAAATTGCGATCAGCTTCTTAAGTCCGTATCACCTGAAACAAATTAAAGGAAAAATTGTTAAAATAGATTCAACTTTTGTGAATTTTAAACTAGAAATTTCAATTCTCGACAAATTTTTAAATAATTCAATTCTTTTTACGAATTTTAATAAAATTTTTAAGAATAATTACATTTTTCGAGGATTTTGATTAAAATTGGATTGAAAATAATTGAAATCCTGCGATGAGTTTTATTATTTTTAAAAATAATTGAATTTCTGCAATCATTTGTAATTTCTCCAAAATAAGTGGTAATTTTTTAGTACCAATTCTACTTTCCCTGACTTTTCCTTAAACTCCCCGATTTACCTGACATATGGCAACTCTGGATTAATTTTTCGAATTTTTATTTCAAGACAATATTTTGCATTCAAGTTTATAGACTTTTTTAAATATATGCAAAAAAATATTTAAATTCAGAATCAAGTTGCTTACAAAGAGATTTCCGTTTAAACCTCCCAAACTGAAATAAATTTCGCTTTGTAAAACTGGGTCAAACTTTTCCAATTCTCGTAATAGGAGCTGTTCTCTACTTCAAGTGTACATTTTTTTACATGCACGTTTTTTTTTAATCTAACTTCATAAATTGTTTAAACATTTTAACAATTTAATTCCTTCTACTATTGTAGCAAAAATGGTTTCTTCCCCCCTTTTAAAAAATAAGTAAAGTGCAGCTACTAAAAAATTTATCTTTCAATAAAAAGTGGAATTATTACTTTCGATTATCTTCTGTTTACTGTGTTATTTTACTTTCCCTATCATTTTAACAATTTGTTTCAATATCAAGAAAATATTTATTAAAAATATTAGGACGAAAATAAATAACTTAATCCCTTTTTTTTGCTAATTTTCAAATTTGTATTTCTAGATCGAAGTATTAAAAAGTAAAATAAAAAATAAAATAAAAAATAGATTAAAACAAATAGAAAATTGTCTGACTAACTTCAAAAACGCAACAACTGAAAAAAAGGATGATGCTCTTTATGAACATTTTTCCAATGAATTTTGACGTATATTAATATAAATTGTATCAAGATCCTTTTTTCCCTTTCGTTGTGGATATATATTTAAAAAATACTCTCTACCTGAAAAGCGCGAATATCTGACAACTATTTTTTACGGTGATGGATAGTTTTTTTTCCTCTTTTTTTCGGGACAAAAATTTCATCATGCAAAGGGCCATAAAATTAGTCATGTTTCAAATATATACACAGACTCACAAGTTTTCAAAACTAAAAGTATTTCGATATAAAAATTCCTGACAAACTTTTTTTTATAAATCCGCTGAAACTTTCAGTAATTTTCAAAAATAAAATTTCAAAAAAAAACTCTGTTTAGTAAAATGACAGGTTTTTACCTGTCATTTTACTAAACAGAGTTTTTTTTGGTAATTTTTTACTTGTACTCCATTTACTTCATTTCATTTGTGAGAGAATTTTCATGCCATCTAGGCGGCAATTTAAAGAACTATTGGCGCGAAATTCAAAAGAAGAAAAATTTACTCAATGATTAATAATAAAGTTTTAATAAAAATTAAAAACAATAATAATAATTAATCAATATTATTAATTAATATTTCGAGAAAAATAATTGTGTAAAATTCCACCTGATATTTACTGAAATATTCATAAAGTTAAACAATAGAATTTTATTTATTTTTTTTCTTTTTTGCATTTTCGAAAAATATTGGATTAATTCAGGTCAAAGAGGATCGCAAACTACAACACAACACGACGACATCATCAAGTAAAATACAGTGTAAACGATAATGGCGTATTTGATATCATGAAAATGACCATTATAGTTATCACCAAGTCTCGCAAATAAAGGTTCTACTTGGAAAGGGTGGCAAACTCATAAAGACAGGGTTGCATCTCCATTCCATTGCCATCAAAGAGCTTGCATAATTCAATATCAGTATCGATGCATCCATTTCATAGTATAACGGCAAGAATAAAGATTCGCTTTGCTGCGACATTATACCGCAACCCTCAACCGCATCTTTCCTATAGTGCGAGAACATCTATACATATATGCGATAACTGTGCAACTTCCTTCAAGATTAATCACTCGAGTTCATTCAAATTGGCACTCTCGTGAAACTATATTGCATCAAGTCAATTATTATTATTATTATTATTATTATCATTATTATTACGTGCGCAGGTGTATGTCATGAGCATCAAATATATACAACGGTAAAATATAACCTTCGAACTTTACTTTCAATAAACTAACTGCATCCAATTCATCTTCTTTTCATTTCATCAAAAAATGAATAAAACTTGGAAAACAATTTTTTATTATACGCTGGGGAAAAAATTCTATTTCAAAAATATTTTTTCGAATTTTTAAGAGAAACATTCTTTTAATTAATATCATTTTTCATTGCCGTACTTTACGTACACTGGAACGCCGATTTAGCGGAATTGTTAGGTTGTGATTAGTTTCGTTTATGAGAGGATTTTCATGCCATCTAGGCGACAATTTAATGAACTACATGGGCGCGAAATTCAAATTGCTTTCGAATTAGTAAATTTTACTAATAAATAGTAATTTCTACCAATTTATTACATGGAGAAAAATATAAAGTAACTTTTACTACTTTTATAGTAAAAAATGTCCGGTAAAGCATTTCTGATAATTTTTACTACTTTTAGAGTAAATTTTGATACGTTCGAAGTACAAATTTGTAAAAATTAGTAAAATTTACTTCGAAAGTAGCAAAATTTACTCCAAAAGTATAGTAAAAATTATCAGAAATGCTTTACAGGAAATTTTTTACTATAAAAGTAGTAAAAGTTACTTTATATTTTTCTCCGTGTACAATTAATAAATATCGATAAAAAATAATTAATTTAATTAATAAATATCATTTCTACACACTGCAAAAAAAATTTATTTGATTCAAATAATCGATTACTTGACTATTATCAATTAAATATTGAATTGAATCAAATATAATATTTATTGGAGTCAATTAAATTGTATTTGAATCAATAATTTCAGTATTTGAAGCAAATATGAATTGAACCATTTAATTGACTGCAATATAAATATTATTTGATTCAAGTAAATATTTAATTGATAATAGCTAAGTAATCGGTTATGTTGAATCAAATAAATTTCTTTTTTCAGTGTACAGTCAAAAATATTTTAGTTTAATTGAAACATATTTTTTGATTAATTCAAAGAAATAATTTTAACTCAAATATAAATTTCGACTTTGGTATTAAATGCCAATATGTTAATCAGATTTTATTTCACGTTTATTATTAAACGTGAAAAAAAATTAAAAAGGCGGAAATATTTATTTTCCTTCGTTTCTTTCGAGATTTCTTTATTATCAGAAAAAATATTTAATTTTGCATTTATTTAAAATTCTTTAATATTGTATATCCGCAAAAAGAAAAATCACCGTGAAAGCTTTGTTATTAAATATTTCACGTCGATTACTTTTATCTTGTTCGTGTTTTGCATTCGTTTATTTTCATTGTTTTAACGTTTGCAGGCACATTTAGATATCTATGTTTACTGATTATTTCAATTTTATCTTAAAAAATTGAATTTCTTTTTAATCTTTATCACGTTTTATTTTAAAGATCCGAGAATGAAAAAAATACTTTTCTTAAAAATATTGTGTAAAAAAGATTTGTTTTTTTTTTTTTTTGAAAAAGAAAAAGTTTAATAAAGATTTTGCAAAATTTAGTCGATAATAATTTTGAAGGTCATGAGTTAAAATTTTTTCTTTTTTATTAAAGATATTATTATATTTATTATTATTTAATTATTTTTTATTTTATTAAATTATTTAAAATTGATAATTTAAAAAAATTATTTAAAAAATTATTAAAGATATTATTATTATTGTAAATACACTTGCAGTAGATTAGAATATATTTAGTAGAGGTATATCGAGAGAGAGAGAAAATTCGATTAACAGATTAGAAACAGTTTAGCATTATATTGTGTATATACAAGCATCTATGATTATAGTATGAAAAGCACTTAAAATTTATTAGTCTGTTTCTTATCTGCTCGCTCTATGCTTTGCTATCACTATTTAGTGAAATTATCGATTATTTACTGAATTTTTTTGTAACCAAATGAATAAGATGAGATGAATACATTAAAAATAAACTACTTTGGTACTAAAATTGAGCCATTTTTTTAATTCTTAATTTTAAGGTATTTTAGGAAAAAAAATTATTTATTTTTCTACATTTATTTATTTATTTTTCTATCTATTTATTTATTTCAATTTATTTATTTGCAGTTTTTGTCTTTATCACAAAAAGATATCAAGCAATTGTTTCAAAATTCTGTAAGGGCCCCCTCTCCAAGGGGACGATAAATTACGCCCCCCCTCTTAAAGACCTTTACATTACGTTAAAATTTAGGTCAAATTCGACTTTTTAATATTTATTTATTTATTTTATTGTCTACTTAAAATCGACATATTTTCTAAAACTTATGAAACTTGTAGATTTAAATAACTTTTTTGTAGATATAAAAAAATATTGAATAAAAATATTGAATACATTGTAAGTCAATGTCAATTTGATTTTGTATAAGCTGCACGATTCAATATATATAATTTTACAAAAGTATTTGAATATGTAGTTATTTACGGATAATAACATTAAATTGATTTATTTATTAAATTGAAAATTAAATATTTATAACTCAAAACATATTTTAAAGTGGTGAACAATTAAATAAAATTGCATAAATATTTTTTTATTTCAAAAATTGCGTAAAATAAACGAATCAATAAAATTTATAACCATATTTTCAATAGAAATTATTTGTTAATTTAACGCTATTGTTACTTTTATTGAAAAAAAATAGAAGTCAAGGGTTTTCTCAACGAATAATAAAAAGAAGAGTTATTTAAATATTATTTGCTACAGTG